CGCTGTGCTATGATGCACATGAGTCACTTTCACTCCAGCATCAACCTGTTGGATCAAGGTCCTCAAAGGATTAGGTAGAACTTCAGTCTGTGCCGTCCCCTCTGTTCAGCAGGAAGTAATGGGGTCAGAGCTTTTAACGTCTACTTTGCACGCTCTCTATTTACATTTTAATAAAGCCGTTTCACATGAGTTGGCTGACTGAAATGCAGTTGAGAGCAAGAGGCTGTTTGATGGTGCATTTAGGTGCTCATGAGGGGAAAAGGAAGATGTGAAAGCCCTTCTTAAACTAGTTGAATCATTAAATTATAACTGCATGGATGTGCATTAATGTGGATCGCCAGGACTGACTTGGAAGCTCAGTTTTTTTCTGTCTATGCGGGTTTGGTGCCCGTTATTGAAGATAACTGTTGCGTTTTGCCCTCTTGTGTCCCAAGCTACAAGCTAATAGAAAATGCGACCGAATGTTAAATAAAAAAAAAGGGCAAAGAGCTCTTTATTAATATTTGCCTTCACACACACTGTATTACATGGGAGCATTGGAGCAAATAGTGTTCCTTCAAAGTGTTCATTGTTGAAGAAATTCTAAAGGCAAGCCCTTATCCCTAACCTTAACTACATATAAACAAATCAGGCTTCCACTGTGGATCTTATTTAGTGTACATACCCACGGTTGTGTGTATTTGTGCTTTGTCCACAGGAAAATGTTTCTCTGGCAGACATCCTTTCTTTGCGGGACAGCTGTCTGTCTGAGGAGGAGGTGTGGGCAGTGTGTGCAGAGTGTGTTCTGGCCCTGCAGAGCATCAGACCCTCCCACCTCTTCCACACACTGTGCATAACACCAGACACTTTGGCCTTCAACGCCCATGGGAATGTTTGCTTCATGGAGCAGCTCAGTGGTGAGTCTATAGCTCAGGCTTGTGTCGTGTGTTCCTTTTTTAGACATTAACCCCTTTGTATATGCTAATTACAGGCAGTTGTTATTGTTTCTGACTATTTTCAGGGCATTTTTCATATATAGAGAATTTTACTTGTCACTTGTTAGTGAAGCTGAGTGCTGAAGCTCACACATGCTAAAGGGAGAAATCAGTTTTATACTTTGAACATAGCAGATCAGATCAGAGCTACAGATTGTGCCTAAATTCCAGCTCGAGCTTTTTTGTCTGACATACAGAGAACAGGCGCCTTTTCCCCCCCTTTAGTGATTTGTTGCCCTGATCTGTATCACTTTCAATTTGCAAATTTCTGCCTGAAAATACTCTGTCAGTGTCTCACTGGATGCGTCGCGCTTTGCTGAGGTTGGCAGATCTGCCCTGATTTGCACAGACAACATCTTATACCCCATCACAGGGCTGCAAGGCCCAGTGACATTAAATGAAAATACTCTGTGAGCAACTATTGAGCCTCACCTCTTCTATTCTTCTTGTCTCCTTTGCATCTCATCACATATATGAGCGCTTGCACTGCAGCGTGCACATACTCCGTCAGAAATTGATAAGCATTGATTAGATCAACAGGGTTGCCAGGGGGATTGTTGTTGTGGTAACGGCGTGTATAGCCTAGCAGCACTCGGCCCGCTCACACTCGCCAACACTTCACAGCCGCCGTGGCATCCGTTAAAGTGCTTGCATCCATTTTTAATTTCCACGCATCTCTTCAGTCAGTAATAGAGACGCTTTGAAGTGATGTCTTGATTACTCTGTCAGCTGAAATTCTTCGCAGTCTCGTTTGTTGCCATGCTTTATTGGATTGTGTTCAGTCCGTTGGCTATGATTCACACTGCGAGAAGAGAAAGAAACTGCAGTGCTCACATTACCCTTGTTGCGTTAGTTCTACTGAATAGAGTTCATCTATATCGTTCATCAGTGCGCCGCATTCCCAGTTTTCCTTGCTGCACGGCTCCCTATTGATTCCTTTTAATTGAACTGTTTGTCAGATCGCAGTGCAATTTCAAGCAGACATATGGTGTATTGGTCAATCCCATGCCCACACACACAAACAAACGGGCTCTAACGCTGTATCACAGAGTGACCTTGAGGGGCTTTGATGACGGGTCTCAGTGGGAACAACAGTTGCAGCGACACTTTAATGCTGTTTATTTCAGATGATTTACTATTGCGGTAATATCAGGAAGGTAATTGGATGTCATGGTGGGTGTTTTGGCAGCGTTTGCGTCGCCAGAGCAGAGACACGCTAACAAAATGTGCTCTGATGGGTTTTTTTATACAGCGATGACCAAGAAAAGCCGCGATTTTTCCCACAAGGTTTCACATCGCAAGCTGTTCAGTTTGTGATGAAACGGCGCCGGCTGTGCGCTGTGGGAAATACGATCAGCACATTTGGAAAGCGTGATGAATCTCTGGTATTGCTTGGCTCATGCTACCTGTTGTGTTAAAATGCTGTAGGCATACATGACTCACCAAGCTCCCACCATCACCCTGGAGGCAACTGCGTCACTGACAACGGCTGTCTTTTTTTTTTTGTTACTCGCCTTCATTGCCCATTTCACTGTGTTACAATATGTCCCGACTACAAAGAGTTTAAATGTCTTGTCCTTTTTTTCTTTTTCTTTGTTTTTGCTCCTGTCTGCCCTTTTATCTTTCACGTTTGATTGAAGATTGAGCTTTTTTGAGAGGAGGTGAAAATATATATATATATATATATATGTAAACAAAATACAGTGAGAGAGAGAAAGGAAACTAGAAAAGGAAGAGAGAAGGATGACGACCAGATAAAAGAAAAGGAGAGTGGGGTAGGCAGGGTTTGTGGAAATGAACGGTGGATCAAAATGTCTAAGGAAGAGAGAAGGCTAACAAGATAAAGGAGGGACTGATGTTGTTGACATATTGTTGAAATTCCAAAATAATTATTAAAAAAGGGGATAAAGGATGAAGAAATTAAAGAAAAGACACGAGGAGGGGAGAGAAGAGGGAGGATGATATGGAACAAAGGAAGAGAGAAAGAGGAGATGAAAATAGGTAGGTGCAGGAGATGAAAGACAAGGGGAGATGAAAAAGCAAAGTATGAGAAAAGGGGTGACAAAAAGAGAGGCGAGGAAAGAGCAATTTAAAAGAAACGGAAGGAGTAAAATGAAAAAAGATGAGGAAGAAAAACAAACAGAGAGCAGAGAGAAGGAAAGACAAGGAGGGGAATGATGAAAGCAAAAGGAAGGAAGATGGTGGGAAAAGATGAGTGAGTGAAAGAACAAAAGAGGAGAGGAGTCAAAAGGTTTAAGAGGTCTGGAGAGGAGATTGGAAATAGAGTAAGGAAGACACAGGAGAGGAGAGAGAAGGAAAGGCAAAATGAGGGGAGAAGAAGAAAGCATACAGGTGAGTCAAGGCTTGAGAACAAAAAATCAGGTGAAGTTAAACATAACTTTAAAAAAAGGATGAGTTTAAAGAGGTGATAGAAAATGAGGTGAAAGGGGAGAAAAGCACAGAAACTCACACTGACCTCTGAACACCAGGAAGTGACAGCCTAGCTATTGCAGACAAGCCCCCAAATTGTCCTGACCCACTTTATTCCCCTTCTGCCTTTTCCATCTTTTCCTGAGCTCACTCGAGGGAGTGGATGTTACATTCGTAGTGATGTTTTCGTGCTCTGGATGTCCAGTCTAAGCGTCAACCTATTTCAGGAGGACAAAGTGAAGAATGCAGAGCTGCTCCTCTGTGCCTGCTTCCCCGCTCTGATCAGCAGATTGCTCATGTCTTGTTTGCCTGGGATTATCTCTGACACACGCATTAGGCAAATGAAGGGAAGCGTCTGCACTAGCCCACTGGACCGTTGTGGTTTAGCGTGCTGGGTGCATATTTCTCTGATTTGCATCTCATTATGGGATATGCTTAGCAAGTAGGTTACAGTACAGAACTGACATGACTGTATGTGTGAGTGTTTACATCAAATGGCCTGTTTGTTCCCCACTTTGATGATATGATGATGTACTGTATGCTTTGCATGCTTAATGGTGCAGTTAATTGGTATGCTTTCAACCTGCAGACGATCCAGAAGGCTCCTTCGTGCCGCCTGAGTTTGACAACACGGGCAGCACGTTTGAGGTGAGAAATGCTGAATCTTCTTACTCGATGTGGTCAAAGGGACAGTGCAGTCATTTGCCCCTGGGAGTTTCTCAATACAGCACACAGTCGGGGGCACCTTGGTGATGTTTGCTGAAAGAGAGGAGAGTGTTGTTTGTTCTCTGCTCTCACCTTAAACTCCATGCAAGACAGCAGCCATTCAGTTAATGCCCACCTCTGTCACCTCGAGCTGTGAAACAGTTATATTTGTGAACTTTCTAATTCCAAAATAGTTTATATTTTTAGAATTTTCACAATGAATTCTATCTGTATGTCTGTAATAATTAGCCATTTTTTTCTCTTTATTCCCCCCTCCAAGTATGCAGAGTTTATGGCGGCCCTAAAACAGCTGTTATTCATTTGAGCGCACAATTCAATAAATGAAACCATTTATTTCCAAAGTGACAGCTGTGCGTTACATCTCTGAAGCTTTAAACTGAATCCATTTCTATCCATGGTTTGATATATCACATAGAGACTGAGATGTGGAAACCACTATAGATTCTGGCCAAGTCAGTGACATTCATTTTATTGATTATATGCTATTTAGAAATATTCTGCAAATAGTCATACAGACTAATGTGTATTTACTTACGGCAAGAAGGTTGTGTTTTTGGTAGCATTTACGTGCATGGCATTCTGTGTGTACACACGATCGCTCGAACGGTTGTGAATGAATTCTGATAAAACTTTGTGGGGAAACTAGGAATCAACTAAACTAGGATTCTTACATACTGAAGTGAAATGGAACAAGATTGATTGATTGATTGATAATACTTTATTCATCCCGAGGGAAATTGGGTTAAGACTGCCAGCCGTACCAGCGACATCTTACCCTTCCGACCATACATGCATTACACAAACATCACATGGGGAAGACAGGTCAGAGAGGTATAACAATGGAAAATGCACAACATGAGGAAAGACCACACCAAATCTGTTAAGTAATGTCAACATATAAAAAGCACTGTATAAAAATTTTAGATATCATGTTATATTTGACCTTTGACTGCTCCTTTAAGGTCAGTAGATTGAACTGAATGTCAAAGTGATA